TATGTATGTATTCGTAAAGGCTGAGATTAACACATGTATTGATCATTGTTATTTATTGTTAGCTAATGGATTAACCAATTTAGATTATGTTACGTCAGTAATGGATTACCTAACATTAACTAATTATTTTAAAGTGTTTTATATTCTTTTCTCACAAAGTAAATCAATAAAATTAAGAGAATTTGTTCAAATGATTTATATGAATAAAGTGACTCACAAAATAATATCATATCAATAAGTCATGGCAACATGTTTTTCCATTACTTTTAACTAGGGCTGTCAAACGATTAATCGTGATTAATCGCATCCAAAATAAAAGTTTGTGTTTACATAATATATGTGGGTGCACTGTGTATAATTATATATATATATATATATATAACTATACACACATGCTCATATATATTTAAGAAATATTTTCATGTATATGCCGTATATATAGATTTATATATTATTTATATTTTTAACGTTTTATATATAAATAATATATTTTTTTTACATATACATGCATGTGTGTGTACAAAATAATTATACGGACCCACATATATTATGTTTACACAAACTTTTAATTTGGATGCGATTAATCGCGATTAATCGTTTGACAGCCCTACTTTTAGCCCATCAAAATATTTTTACCAATTTCAAATTCACTTTTTTAGCCGTACAAGCCAATTTGATTACTTATTTATATTAAGCCATTAGTTATTACTTATAAGCCATTACTTATAAGATTACTTACTCATATTAAGCCATTAGCTAAACTTATGTCATTTTTTATTTATTTATTTATTTATTTATTTTTACAGTGTACACCTGACTGTTACTCCAACACCACTGTCGTAGAGCGATGCTATCAAAATGCTCTGAGAAACAAAAAGGTTTGCAAAACATGTGACTAGCTACAGTCATTTTGAAAAGTCATTGATTCGATTATTGACTTTTTGCTGAAATGTTGACAGGATGCTGGTAGAAACCTACAAGACCGTGAACGATTGACCTCTAGCATTGAGCGTCATCTCACTAATGACGCAAGACTGTTCACTCGGGTCACATAAACAGGCAACACAGACCCAACCTCTGATCCCAGGATTAAAGAGCCGGTCTGGCTGAGCCTGGGGTCAAAGTTCATGGGTTAAAACCGAACCGAGATGTGAAAGGGAACATGGAAAATGACACCAAGATGTAAACACAGGAGCGATGTGGCGTCCGAAACGGTGTTTATTAAAGCGGATGTGCAAATAAAACAGGTTATCAAGCACAACCGTCTAAATGTATTCTTATTGAAGCTACTATTCCATCAAGAACGATGAGTGATTTCCTGTTTTTCTTAAGTTATTTGATTCATATACAGTAAAAAATCCTGGAATGTTTTCATCAAAAACCTTAATTTCTTTTCAACTGAAGAAAAAAAGACATTGACATCTTGGATGAAAGGGGGTGAGGAAATTATCAGCAAAAGTTGGTTTAAAAGCGAACTACTCCTTTAAGGCCATGCCCACTCAGATAAAACACAAACATACAAAAATAGTACATTTTAGTACAAATATACATAGGAACAGTAAGAACAAAAACAGAGACGGAGGACAAGTTGAAGGTCTCTCTGCGAGAGAGCCGAGCTGAGAAGAGTAGATTCAACATGTGTGGAGAATAAACAGCTCATTCAGCCGTGCTGTTAAAAATGGTTCAAAGGATGTGAAGAGATGAAAAGATTCAGCCCTCCACTATCCTGAAAACATGCTCCTTGTCTTTGAGTGTCTGAAATATTACTACTTATTCATTCTGCTTTGTCTTTTCAAGCTCTCGTGTCCACGGCTGGTAAGTTTTATAGCGGCCGGATCTTTATATGTGAAGAGCGGCGTGAATGTCCTTTCAGCTCTAATCACAATATCGAGAAGAACCGTACCTGCCTAGAAGAATGCTTTATTGCTCAGAAGTTGCTCTTGACATTTAGTGGCATTCTCAGATATGCTTCATTTAGGTTTCAACAGCGTTGGGGAAGACTAAAGTGATTGATGCTACTAACTAAACTTACATTGTTCAGTAGTTTGACAGAAGCTAAAGTCTCCTCTTTCTCATGTAGCCCTGAGAAGTAAGTGGTATTCAAAATGTCTAGTTTATTAGTTTATTGGTGAACCAAATCAAATGATTCAAATCAATCAAGTGATTCAATTGAATAAAGTAGGTTCATTTGAGATTCCAATGAGTACAGTCTGGGGAGGAGTGAAATAAAGATGGGTAGTGCTTAAAATTCTGTTGCTTTTATATGAAAAGACACCCAAAGTACCAGTTATTTAATTTCCCCCATAAAGATATGTTTTAAATCCATTTTCAGTTTAATAAAGACCTGCATTTTTTTTTTGTTATTGTCAATGATCTGTCCCATATATAGATCACATTGTCAATGTTTAAATCAAACATTTTGGAAGAGAGTAAAACATCACGGTTGATTAAACCAATGAGCATTCAGCTGTGTCGTCAGAAAGTTGTTTCCCATCATGCCTTTTGTCAGCGCAGTGGGGGGAAAGCATATGCGCCCGAATGCGCCATCTGGCACATTTTTTTTGCATACTGTACGTCAGTATGACATCAGAGCGAGTTGGACCAAACGTGGACACATTTCTAACCAGCATGCATCTTTTCGTGATTTTGCAAACCTCAAATGAGCCTCGGGATTCAAATGAATCAAATGATAAATTTCAATTGACCAAACTACTGGGATGAATCAGAATCCCTACCACTAGTAAATGTATCTGTTCAAGAAGCTGGATAGTAGCTTAGATCATTAGACTTGGAAGAATTTGATGAGAAATGTTTGAGACCTCTGACCTTTGACATCAGACTTTGGTAACATCTAAACACAGTTTGAGGCATCTCTTCTAAAACCCTAGATCAGGCAAAAGTGAGATCACTGGGGTGTTGTTCTCAGGAGAACAAAAACAAAACAAGCTTCTACAAAAGTACTGATTTAATTTAGTGGTATTCAACTGGCGGACATAATTCTGCCATTTTACCGTTCACTTTGAAATTAATTTTTGATATGTTTTATCTTACCTCAAGGGCATCCAAGATGTAGGTGTCTTTGTTTTCCGCAGTAGTTTCAATTTTTGATATTTTTAGGTCAAACCGTTCTTCTCTGTCAGTCATATAATGGAGGTCTATGGTCACCACCTCAAAGAGCATGCACAGAGAAGTCCAAATTAAACATGATTTAATGACTCGTAAATGTAAGTACACATTGATGGCCCAAGACACGAAACGAGCGGTTTGTGTGACCATAGACCTGCATATATGACTGACAGACAAGACCGGTTTGACCTAAAAATATCCAAATTGAAACTACTGTGGAAACAAAGACACCTAAAAGTGAGCAGCATGTCAAAACAATGTGGTTCACATTCACACCACAAGCGCTCAGGGCATTTATAGTAATGATCGTTCAGCACTACATCCTCTAATTAAAGATGGCATGGTAAGATGACTTTGAATTACTTTAGTTTTGTGCCCATGAAGAGATATTTGATTATTATTGTTTGTTTTTAGTAGTTTATTACTTTGTGCAAAATATTAAAACGGTCCATACTTTTCATAAGAGGCAAACCCTTCACCCCTACTTTGTTTTATCAGTCCCAATGCCTTCTATGTGCCATAAACAAGATGTCTAAATGTAAAATAAATAAAAATACTTATATAACATCTGATACTACCTTTTTATATTCATATCCAGCAGAGAGAAATATTTGCTTTTATTAATGTAAATTTTTGTGAAAATTCTCTCATCACTGCTTTGGCTCTCGGGGCCCAAGATTCTCATCTTTGATGACTATTTTGATTGTTTCACATTGTTTTTCTTTTACAAAGTACTCCGGCTGCCTCGATGGAAATGTAACTGAAAAAAGTAATGTCCGGACCTGTCCTGGGAAGGAAATATTACGGTGGCCGAGAAGGGTCACAACACATACAAACTACATATTCAGAAATCAACTAATTCAGAAAACACATACAAACGCCACGGACCCGAATCCATTCAGTTGTCTTCGTGCTATTTGAATGTGCGCTTTTGTTGTCTATGGCTACAAGAGGTAAGAGTTTCTCTTTTATTATGACAGACTTGTCAAAGTGGTTGTGTGTGTTTCCAACATATTAAGTTATTGTGAAGACAACCGGGTCCGTCACTGATTATGGCCCCCCTGGAAACATTTTCGTTGTGTCTTTGCAGTTTACAGTTCGTTTCCCTATTTGCTTGTGCTGTGAATATTTGCAGTGTACATGATGTGAAATCGCCAAAGTTGTTTTCTGAATGTAGTCGTTGTGGCGTTTGTATGTGTTATGACCCTTCTCGGCCACCATAAAATATAGAGAGCGGACATCTAAAATATAGAGAGCGTATCATCGTTCTAGGAGAAACTTCTGAGATACTCGTTTCTGATTTTCTTTTCTGTGAGCTCACAGTCCTTCTACGCCTATTAAAGGATGAACAACTACAGCGACAGACAAATCCATAAGGTTCAGTGAAATCCTGCACGCTGTTACAGCCTTTGTTAGATAAACTAATCTGCTAATGGAAAAATGTCAGTGACACTTAAGCAGTGACAAAACATTTGAAAAATGTATTTCATGTCAGCCAATGGAGAGCTGCTTCATAATAGCACAATGTACATTACCACACAAATCAATAAAAACAGGTGCTGCTCGGTATCTCTCTTTAATCCGGGCTAATGCACTTCTGTTGTCACCCTAAGCACCATAATGTGCTCCTGGCTTCATCATCATAACTTCAGACACAAACTAACTACGCTGATGAAACTGCTAGAGATATACTAGATGCGAATGCACTTAAGGGTGAAGAGTTAGTCCCAAGCTTTGTTCAAATCCATTACTCTCTACAGGCAAAGATAAACTCAACTCTGGAGAAGAGCAAGGATCATTTCAGCCTTCATATCTGGTCCTTGTGGCATCTTTAAGTGGATATCAAAAGCAATTTAATTCAGACTTTAACTCACCTCCGAGCCCGGGTCTCAGACGGTTGTCGTAGCCGTCCAGCAGGCGGTCCAGGATGCGTGTGAAGAGTGTGATGTTGTTTTTGAAGGCATCTGTTGTGGCATCTGCAGACACTGACCTACAAGACATATGCATAAACGTCAAGAGTACGTGGGAACTTGATGGTCTCATCATGAGCAGGATGGGAAAAATGAAGGCAATGAAACTACTGGCAGTCTGGTTTGAGGAATTACCTGATCTCTAAAATGCTCTTAAGACTTTAATTATTATTATTATTATAATTATTTATAATAATTTACAACTAAGATGTACTGAGAATCTTTGTACTGGATTCAAATTAAATTTTAAATCATAGACTTGGGAAAGCGTTTTGAAGACAGCGTTATGCTTAAGCTAGACTTTAAGAAGTAGTAAGCTGCAGTACAATTTATTTAAAGGGAAACTCCCCCCCAAAAATCTGTAATCATGTCATGTCATTAACTGTTTGGTTCCAATCGTTCTTCAATATATCTTCCTTTGTGTTCATCAGAAGAAAGAAACTCATACAGGTTTGCAACATCTTGAGGGTGTGTAAATTTTCAAAACAGAATTTTCATTTTTGGGAGAGTATCCCTTTAAAGAAGCAAGATATTGTAGATAACAGTCAGGTTGTATAATGAAACTACTTTTTTATACTAAAACCATGAGGATATCAATTATTATGCCAGCCACCTATTTTCACTATGGCATGATTTTTCTCTCCAAAATTTTCAGCAGAAATCGCATCCTGTAGCTTATTACACTAAATAGAGCTAAAAATATCATAATCAAAGACAACATTAACAAATAATTAATTTACCAACCAAGCAAGCAACCACCCATCCAAGCAACCAACCAACCAAGCAAGCAACCAACAAAGCAACCAACCAATCAACCAACCAACCAACCAACCAACCAACAAAGCAGCCAACCAACCAACCAACCAACCAACCAATCAACCAACAAAGCAACCAACCAACCAACCATGCAACCATGCAACCAAGAAAGCAAGCAACCAATAAAGTAACCAACCAACAAAGCAACCAACCAACAAAGCAGCCAACCAAGCAGCCAACCAAGCAACCAAGCAACCAATCAACCAACCAACCAAGCAACCAAGCAAGCAAGCAAGCAACCAACCAACCAAGCAACCAAGCAACCAAGCAAGCAAGCAATCAACCGACCAAGCAAGCAAGCAACCAACCAAGCAAGCAAGCAAGCAAGCAAGCAAGCAAGCAAGCAAGCAAGCAAGCAAGCAACCAAGCAACCAACCAACCAAGCAACCAACCAAGCAAGCAAGCAACCAACCAACCAAGCAAGCAAGCAACCAAGCAACCAACCAACCAACCAAGCAACCAAGCAAGCAAGCAAGCAAGCAAGCAAGCAAGCAAGCAACCAACCAAGCAACCAAGCAAGCAAGCAAGCAACCAACCAACCAACCAAGCAAGCAAGCAATCAACCAACCAACCAAGCAAGCAACCAAGCAAGCAAGCAAGCAATCAACCAACCAACCAACCAAGCAACCAACCAACCAACCAAGCAACCAAGCAACCAAGCAAGCAAGCAACCAACCAACCAACCAACCAACCAACCAACCAACCAACCAAGCAAGCAAGCAACCAAGCAAGCAAGCAAGCAACCAAGCAACCAACCAAGCAACCAAGCAAGCAACCAAGCAAGCAACCAACCAAGCAACCAACCAACCAACCAAGCAACCAACCAAGCAAGAACCAACCAAGCAACCAAGCAACCAACTTTAATATATATATATATATATATATATATATATATATATATATATATATTGCATGTGATGACAATATGCTTATACAACTTCTCTGACTGACACATCTAAACAAACAAACAGTATAGCTGAAATGAATAGGACTTTTAAATGCATGACAGAAAGCGAACTATTCTACTGTCATGGTTTGCTTGTGCACAATACATTGAAACATAAAAAACAAGTGTTTTGTCACACAACATTGCTATGGAAACTCTTGTTGTAACACCACAACACCGCTCTGATGCTATTAGATCTTTCACTCTGTTCCACATGTTTTACTTACAGGAAATTTTATGTGAAGCACAGCCTGGGAATATAATTAACATTCTTAAGCATAATTGGCTTAATTAGCATAAGCAATCATGCATGCATTATGAGCGGAAACTTGATCCGTTTTCTAGCTGACTGTTAAACCCCTATAAATGTAAGAACACACTCTCTCTGTTCCAAAGCCTATAGGTATGTAGGTAGTGAGTATTACTTACAATTTGTTTGTAATTATTAGTGAAATTCACAAGCAATTTCTACACCAATCATCCCAAGTATATAATGCTGCGTTCAAGCCATGTAGTAATTACCGTAAAATCGATTTGACAACACGTCACTTTCTACTCGGAGCTGTTCGCATTCACATCCTTGGACTATGCGTTTCTATGGCAACACTGTTAACACCTAAATGAATATGCAGTGGTCAGGTGGTACATTGGTCATGTGGTACGAATCTGAGCTCTCAGAAAATTCCCAGTTTACAAATTTACGAGCTCTGCGAGGACTTAAATGCTTTTTACACGTTGAAATCTCGTTATTACAGTAATCACGACATGAACACTTTAATACACTTAATTGAATATTTTCATAGTAAAAAGTATCAATACAATCTAATTAACTCTTTCCCCGCCATTGATGGAAATTTCCGTAATTTATGAGACAACGCTTTCACGCCATTGACAGAAGTTTTCTTCTTTCCATGTTTTCACTGTTATACGGTAGGGGGCGCTATTACACATTTTCCGAAAGAGCACTGAATCTCCTGATCAAAACACATACTGTACAAAGAAGATGCAGAAACAAATGATATCATATGTGATCACCAACATTAAACGGCATATAAATCTAAACTGCCTGATAATGAAATATTGACCCAGGACGAACTACAGGACTGTGAAGCTTGAGGGGTTTTGATAGACTCGATCCACTCCATCTGTGTTTTGATCATCGATCTGAATCTGATCTGGATAGTCTTTGACAAAAACGTGTAATTCTCTGCTTTTTGCTCAAAATGTTGCTTTTATTAATGAAACTTACCCACATTCAAGTGTTGATCAAAACATAATATGAGGCTTGAATAAAACTTTTTTGAATCTTTTTTTGAAGCAAAGGGTCTGATCTTTCTTTTTATATATTGAATGTTCAGATATTCATACAAAATATTCTCTTGACCATGATCAAAAATGCAGGCAGTGGCTGCTGGCAACTTTTAAGCTGGCATGGAAAGAGTTCAAATTGACTATTGTGTACGCTATGCTTTTTAGAGCATCTCATCTTTAGTTTAAAAACATCCTAATGCCAAACTCTATTGGAATCAATCATGACTCGTGAGTCAAGCTAATGAAGTTGTTGTCCATGTAGGCAGCAGTGAGGAAGCTCACTAGGTTTTGGAACACAGCCATAGATTGTACACGAACAAGACTGAGCAAGTCGCTCTAAACATGATTTCCATCCAAAACAATCCAAAGTAGTTCACTAGTTCAGCAAATCACCATATGTGTAATTCTGTGCTCTGATACCTAGGCTTATTATAGGGCAAATTCCTACACAGGCCTGACATACATCAACTATTTAATATGACATACAAGTATTTAATATGAGCTAATTAGATGGCTTTGAAGTCGGTCATAATGCTAGGATTTGAGTGAGCGTAAAGCACAAGAAACCTGAAGGGATTTCAATATAATACCAACTCTTAAAGGGATAGTTCACTTTAAAATTATTTTTTGATTTGTTTTAGCTTACCTGAAGGGCATCCAAGATGTAAGTGTCTTTGTTTCTCTGCTCTTTGAGGTGGTGACCATAGACCTCCATTATATGACTGACAGACAAGAATGGTTTGACCTAAAAATATCAACATTGAAAATACTGCAGAAACAAAGACACCTACATCTTGGATGCCCTTGAGGTAAGATAAAACATACCAAAAATCAATTTCAAAGTGAACTATCCCTTTAAGGTTCCTCATCGGTTGGAGGACACACATGCAGGCGTGACCCAGATTAGGGGGAGGTTTGTCTGATCCCGTCCCGATTCCAGTTATTCACTGCTCGTGGAACCCAGTAAAGCATATTTCATGAATCGACTTTATGACACAAGCAGGAGGACGGGGTTGCTTGTCACATATATAATCTAGATTTATATGATATTGCTTTATTGATTAGGATGGCATGATATGACCGTGTTCACTCTAAGGAGAGGGGTCTGTTTCAATGTTTTAACATGAATAAAAAGATAACGGGACATCATATTAAGTTAAAACTAAATCGACAATGAACCTGAGCTGAATGTGTACCAAATGATCAGAGTAAGTAATTATAATCCATATAGTCACCACTTAATCATGGGTTTGCAACAAAATCAAGGTTAATTATTGTTTGACTAGTAGGATTAAAACAAGCAACATTTAGACCAAAAACACTCACTGGCTTGGCTTCCCCAAAACACACACACACTCAAAGAGAGATACTACAGGTGTAAATGACCGTTCTGGTTGGATTTTACAATATTGATGTTCCATTTTTGCCCAAACTTTCCAAAACATTGGAAATATCAGACAATTTATAACATTACCGATGTTTTATGCCATGTTAGGCAATTTTCATAAGAGACCGTTAATTTATGAAATTGCATGTTTGACGTTTCATTATTATGAAAAGGCATGAAATGAGGGATCATAGGTCAGTGTTGGGTAAGTTACTCTAAAAAAGTAATTAATTACTAGTTACTAATTACCTCTTCAACAGTGTAATTAGATTACTGTACTAATTACTCTCGCTAAAAAGTATTTAATTACTTTTAATTACAAATTACTTTCAAAATCCCATATCAATCTCAACCAGCTGAATAATACAAGGATAGACATGAATCTGTTTTAATTCTTTCAAATAAATACTATAAAATTGCATGAATTATCCTTAATCTGACCAAGGAGGAGAAGGTTACATTATAAAAACATACTTTTTTAGCATCAGACAATACATTTTGATGTTAAACCCACTATTGTTTTATGTCTGATCTCATGACATTTCACACTTTTTTTCATACATATTTTACAATAATTCATACGAATTTGTAGGAGTGCGGTCGTACGATTTAGACATCTATACACAGTATATACCGCAATTACATCAGAAGTAACTGTAATTAAATTACAGATAAATGAAGAGTAATCCCTTACTTTACATTTTCAAGGGAAAAGTAATTAAATTACAGTAACTAATTACTTAGTAATTAGTTACACCCAACACTGTCATAGATACATGATTAGTCTATTAGGTCTAATTCACAAACAAAACACATTACAATATTTGAAAATAACTCAATAACTCATAAAAATGATTTGTTCCCCCCTTGAGATTTAATGACCCTACCTAACAGACAAAAACATGTTAATTTAAATTATTTAAAAAAACATATAGGATTATGCACAATTAGAATGTAAACACTTGCCTGTGAAAATTAGTTTATCTTTAAAAGCTAATTAAAAAAATAAAAATAAATCAGCCTATGCACATGAAGTCCGTCCCCAGAATGGGAAAGCTCTCCTCGCTGTTCCACACACACACCACACGCTCTCCAAGTACCACCATATTGACCAATATGAAAATACAGTAGTGTAATAGGCCTAACTATTCAGCTACAGTTATGCACATCTCAAACATAAGGCAGTTTGATTTCTAATAAGAATATGAATTATTGTCTGCCACTTTAAACATTGTAAAAAACACAGATTGAATATTACCACTGCACTGTTCTGCTGACAAACAGGTAAAAAAAAAAAAAAAAACTTAAATAGGCAAATTACACCGGTGTAATCGTATCGTACGCTCCAGGGACCAGCCAAGACTGATCACACAATTGACAGTAAAAGATCACACCGTTTTGATCTTACGTGCGAAATTCAGCGATTCCTCTGCGTACCACTAGACGGAGCCTGCGGACCACTACGCGTACCACACTTTGAGAACCACTGACCTAGACTAGAGTATTCATCCACGATCAAGTAGCCTACACAGTTCGATGATTTATTTTCCAACAACCAAACCTGGCTGCATGAATAAAACTTACGCTAATTAATGTCTCATCAAACAAACATGTCTTTGTCAGTCTTTTTTAGAGGAGTGCTTTCTTTTGGTGACCACCGGAGTCGTGCGCCGCGTAAAAGTCTCCAGTTACGCACGGACACAAGAGGCTTCGTGTCAATCCCATATACCAGAAACGTGGTCAAACGAAGGATATAGATAATATTTTGATGTATTATAATACACAACATCATTTACAGAGCGAAACCAAGACTGGCAGTCCTACCTGGTGTGCCAAAACAGCGTCAACACGAAGATGAGAAGATGAAGCGCGAACCTCTCCCTCATTTCTGCCACTCAAACCTGTGTATGAGAAGACAAAAGACTGAATTCATAAATCAGTTTGGTTTGTTTCCGTAAAATACTGCCGATCACACAAACTAAAACGAGGGGTTAAGTTGGTCCATAAGCGCACACAGGTGCTGAGCTTAGATGATGGATCCCAGACATTTCATTATTTACATGATATGAATATCAATATCTCTTACAAACATTTCAATTCACAAGATGAGAAAAGCACGACCAAGTGTCCACGACTCGCGCTGTGGTTATGATAACCTCCATGTAAAGGGAAACATATGGTTGATCATTTCCACACATGGCCAGAAACACAAAATCCAGAACGGTGAAGAAGTCTATGGAAAGGACACCCACCTGTGATCCACCAGATCTGTTCTGTCCTTATGAATAAACGCTGATAAATAAAAAAACCGACAAGTGAAAGTTTATTGCCAGCCGATGAAACCGGATCACGAATGTTATTTAAAAAGTGCGCACGTGGATCGGCAACGAGCCTTAACAAATTCCCATAATAATTCACTATAATGTCAGATGCGAATGAGGGTCTGATCCTCCACCACACCTCTCTCTCTCTCTATCTCACTCACTCTCTCTCTCTTTAACTAACGCACCGACGCGCCTTGACGCCCCGTGATCTCAGATCTTCTTTACTGAATCTCATACTGCTCACTATTTATTTTTTTCTCTTGAAAGAAAGAAAAGGGGGGATAACTAAAGAAAGAGACAAAGAACTGGGTCCTAAAGGCAGTTATATTAGGGTGCTGATTGCTCGCGCACGCTCTCTTGCACGCATACTTCACAAATTTCACGCATGTTGTGTGATGGTGTATATTTATTTGTAGAATTACGTTTTTGCGTAAGAATGCTGTGATTATTTACTCACACTCATGTTGTTCCAAAACTGTAAAACGGTAGCCCATTTTGTGTCTGTGAAAAAGAAGAAATTGTCAAGAATCTCAGTTGTTTTCCATTGATTTGCATGATTACTGTAGGTAAAAATGTTTGTAAAACACATTGTAGCAATGTTCTTAAGCTTAATGGCAGAAATCACACCCGCAAGTCACACCTTCTTCCACAGATTGTTCTCATATGGAACACAAACAGCGTTATTATCAAAATTACAAAGCTTTGCAATGCATGCTATGGAAATACATCACTGGATGTCAAGATAAGTTGCAATATTCTTGATTTATTTGAACAAAAACAAACAAGTGTTAAACGATGCTGTGCTATAAACCAATCCTAAACATAAACAATGTTTTCCTCATAAATAATAATGCATAGCTGCAGAAACTTAATGCATTGCTTTTAGAAACAGAGTTGAATGGAATGATAAACATCAAATGGAAAGCGGTTATTAAAAATAATCAATTACTGTGCTTGTCCAATCAATGGTTTAAACCTTGTAAATATGCAAATGGAAACATTAACCCTAATTAAATCATGAAACCTGATATCCCAGGAATAAATACTAACTCAGTGTAAGAAAAAAAAGGGTTCAATGGGTTTCTATATAAAGCTCAAAGAACACTTTATGCCTAACAAGCTCTATATAAAGAGAAATGTTTCAAATGATTGTATAAAACTTTTACGTTAAACAGGTTTTCTTTTTTTCTAGTGATAAAGTATGCTAATTAGCAGTTTAAGTCAAAAATGTAATTAAAATGAACAAATCATTGAAACAAAATTAACTAATTAAAATGATATCCACTGTAAAAATGAATGCGTTTATCTAATCAAAAAACAAAACAACAGATTACGAGCAATTTTATTAATTCAATTTAACAATAGAATTGAGTAATAATAATCAAATTAATTCCTTAAAAGTTAACCATTTAAAATGAGAATGTACTTTGTACAAAAAAAATGTACTTTTAAGTCACCATTATGGTGATTGGTGTTTGTTTTAAAATGGCGGTTTTCTCCTTCAGTGATTCTGCTTGTAAAATAAAATAAAGAGTTCTCAATTAATCTTTGACATCAGTCTGTTATTCAGATATTTTTGTTTATTGTTTTGGTGTAAAATTGACTCATTTTAAATTGTTAACTTTTAAGGAATAATTTGATTAATTATTACTCAATTCTAATTTTATTGATTAGATAAAGCATATTCATTTTTACAGTGCATGATGGGAACTCCTATTTGAAGAGTCTGACAGAAGCCTTTAAGATTCTATATTAAACCTTTTCTTCTAAGAGTGTGGAACATGATAACCCAGAATTATGTTAAGCAGGGTTAAAAATGACCCCCCCAACAAGCTCATTTTGAGAGATTATAAATCAAAAAAATCTAGATTATAATTTTAAATTCATCCGCACTGCAAAATGTGGTTGGCTTCTAAACCACAATGTCTGTTAAACAGGGGTCTAAGATCAGATCTTTTAGTTATGCATTATTAATGGTGAATAAAATGATTTCCACATGAAACACATTCTTTTTTCAAGCTCTCTCTCTCCCTTTCGTAAGGAACATTTGATGTCCCACTGTGATATCAATAGCAGGGGGTATCGCAGTAAAAATGTGTGTGTGGACGCATGCTGAATCCCATAACCAGACACACACTTTATCTTAATCTAGCAAATATGTATTAAATCATGCCGTTCAATAATATTGTATGACCCTATCTGCCTCGTAATATTTATTTATGCCGGGGTGGCATTCATACATAAACCAACAGACACAATGAGATCCTGCAATGCTAAAAATAGGAGACAGCCAATAACTTTTCCCAGAATCTTCTAGATGTCAATATCATCTTTTGAATAAAAAAAAACAAATCTCACTATTATACCAGTCCAGATATTCAGTCAATTTAATGGCAAATGGCTGTATTCTGCACTAATGCGTCTTCTCTGATGACTCTCAACATGCAAGTGTTGCTTCTCTTAAAATAATTTGATTTAGTAACCTGTATTAGCTATAGATTAGGTCCAGATGATGAATTTGCAATTGCCCCTTGTCCCCTCCAGATTCTGCATAAATATTTAAAGCAAAAAGGCAGCCGTGTTGGCCAGCGGCCCCAAGAAGACAGATGAGAGTGCAATGCAATTGCCAATGCAAATACACATTCTGTGGTAACATTGTGTTGCTATGAAAAATGGTGTTTCTAAGCATTTCAGGTGATTTTTTTTTCAACCAGGCTGCTGAGACTTAAAGACATTTTCACACAAAATTGGTTCAGAAAGGACAATCATTTTCATTGTGGAGATGAATGAATTAATTAAACATGAATGTGTCCACAATATAGCATGCAAATTAATTAAATATTTTTAAAATAGAATGCATCAATAGTCAGAAACTCTAGTGAATTACATGTTGTTTAGTTTTCATAAAAAAATAAAAAAGTGATTTTCAATTTATCTAGAATCATGTGGCTCTACTGTACAGCATATAATAGGCTATGCAGCAAGCAGTAGGCAAGTACTGCATCCCACGACGTGTTTGCATGCATGCATGCAATAATATTTGCAGTTTCTTAATGAAAGTTTTTAGTCTTTAGAATGATTGGTAATTGGTGATTATTGACAATCTAAAATGGCCTATCCATTCATTGAGTGAGCTCCAGAATGTATCTCAATTCACAGGACTCTCAAGTGTCACGCATTGAGCGTCTTTTGTCACGCACTCTCACCACACATTGTATTTCTCACGCTGAAAATAGTATAATATATTTAATATGCCGCAGCCCCCCAAAACTTCTCTTAGTCGAGCCTAAGACTTATCAGCCAATCAAAAAAAGAAATCTGTTATACAATAGCCAATCAGAAAATAGCACTAGTATCTGGGTAAGATTCAAAATAAGTCATGATCTCCTGTTTTAATGTTAGAAAAAATTCACAACTTGTTTAATGACAGCTTGAGAATGTTTCCCAGATAATTAGCATCAGTTTTTCACGAGTGTCTGTAACTTGGCCAACAGTTTTACAGCCTGTTCACTGACAACACCTGCTCAGAACAAGTAGTCTAGGCCTAGTCATGTTTTCGTTAGCACACGATGACTGACATATTGTTGCTTTATAAACATCATTCTCTCTAAATAGGCTTAAAATAGGTCGCTTTTACAATCATGTTATATTTAATAATTATATCCTGGCCATATAAGCATCAATCATTGCATCTGTCTTTCAAAGATAAAGCAGTTAAGCATCCTCTCATTCGCCCTGAGAGGAAAGCCGCCTTAAAAAGGGCAGGCAAGAGGATGCTGGACCAGAGAAGGTGGTCGAAAAGGCCGGTCTTTAAAACTTGAGAGCCCTGAATTCAACAAGAGTGTTTTCACATCTCACTGCGCAAGAAAAAAAAAAGCCAAATGACAACAATCAAATTTTATCTCGTCAAGAACATTGAGAAAACAGTGCACTTAAACGTAATGACTACCAGGATTCCATCATTAGCATCTTTCCTCTCCCATTCAGCTCTAATAATCACACCGCTATTGTGTTATAAAGCACGCACATCAACCATCTCCATTCGAGTCATCAAGCATCCCATAAGGCCGCATGGGTGATGATGGCATCTAATTGAAGCTATTAGTGGGGTGGAAGTTGCTTTGCTGTATGTGATTAACATGGAAAGTATCAGAGCTCAAAGCATGACCTGCGAGAACCTTTTCTTCATGACGCCCTCCTGGCAGAACACTAGTGTTGGGTTTGGCAGAGCAGATTCAGGCTGCGTTTTGGGTAAATTCGATTAAAGGAGATGCTGGAGTGCACTATTTTACGCTTCACTACCTTATAGTGTAAATAATTCAAACGTGTGATCTTCTGAAATGAATTGTAATCTTGTAATAGCAAAATGATTATCCACCTTATTTTTTACATTATAGTGGATGCGGCCATTTGTAACTTCCCAGCTAACAGGAAATGTCTTAAAACTTTGGCTAACGTTCTGGGAGGGTTCGCTTAAAGTTATGAACTAACTTTCTCCAGTAATGTTAATAGAACATTCATTTAGTTATCTGCTATTCAATACTGTTCTCAAACATTTTGTACATCGTTCTGTTCAGCAAACATTCAAACGAAATTATAAAATGGAATGTTACCCTTAACATTCTCACAAAAAAAGCATTTAAACATGAAATAAAATGGAGAACATTCAAATAAGTTTTTCAGCTATATGTTAGCGAAATGTTTGGTTCAGTGTGAGGCTTCCGGTGTCGACTGTCGTTCGCTTCCAGTACAAAAACTCTCCGTTATGCTGCTTGATATTGCAAACTAATATTTCTTATCATAGTATTTTATGTAATTTCATAATCATGAACCTATTTTAGCGCAAAATTGTCTTACCGTTTACTGCACATTGCTATTCTTCTAGGCATTTCCCAATAGCGCGGCAAATGAAGTCTCGCACATTCACACAGAAACAAAAGTGATCTGCCCCTCCTGTGAGCGCGCGTGCCATCAGGCCTGGCACGAGCGCTCAGGTGTTCAGTTTCACACGGTTATGCACACATGTCATCGCTGGCACCGAGTGTCCGACACACAGAGTCAGACTGACTCCAGCACAGCCGCTCAAGTGTCACAGGTTGCACTCTTCCGATGAGATAGAGGTGTCTGGAACACAACACAACTCTTTCATTTGAATTATGCTCCATTTGGATGCTTTACCTTTGCAACAGGACTGAGATTGGTAGGAGGTGTTTTGTTTTAGCACACACACATACACACACAAAGTGCAATG